TTTTCCCCCCCCTTTCCCCCCCCCCCCAGGTTCTCACCTCCATCCTTTTCCCTCCCCGTTATCTGCTGGCTTTCTGGATGGTTTTTTGGGGGAGGAATAGGAAAAAAAAAATCACAAAAAGCCTCTCACGATGTGTCTCGCAAAAGGCGAGGGCTTTTGTTTGCCGCCCGCGCTCTGCCAGGTCGCCCTGAGATGGGGATGGTTTTGGGGGGGGAAAAACAGCTTTTCTCCATCTCCTTAAGCCCCTTTTCCAAACAAAAGCCAGGCTTTTCCTCCTCCGAGCATCCCGTTGGCTGAAAACACAGATTAAAAATGCCTTAATTACCTTTTTTTTATTATTATTTTAAAACGCAGCTGCTGCCTGAAGTGAATCCTTTTTCTTAACACCTCTTAAACATCCCCCCCACCACCACATACCCCGAGTTTCAGCCTTTTTGCCTTCTCTTTATCATTTTTCTTTTCTACTTTTTCGGAGGCTGCTCCTTCCGTCTGGACGAGCCGAACCCAGTGGAAAGTTTGTTGGTGAAACCGAGTTGGTGGTGGAGATCGTAGGAGGGGGGAGAGCAGAGCAGGCGAGGCTTGAAACAAGGGTGGAATTTCAAAGTTTCTCCTTTTTTTTTTTAATTTTCTTCAATTCTGGCAAGGCTCAGCATCACCGACGACGTCGGGAATTGCGCCTTTTTTGAGCGCGTTCATGTTTTTAACTTGGTTTATGGTTCTTTCCCACCCCTCCCCTTCCAAAAGGTGTGAATCCTGTGGTTGTTGAAGCATCACCTCCAGGGTTCTTGCTCAAAACTTTAGGGATTTTGAGGAGAACGATTCCCTTTGGCTTTAGGAAACGGGGCTGGCGTTTCTTGGGCTGGTGGAGTATTTTCTGACGTAGAAATGGCCTCACCGGGTCGGGTTTTGACTCCATTTCTTGCCTGGCTTGGAGGAAATCAAGGCAGCTTGAAGGAAAAGTAGCTGTGTATGGAGTTTTTCGGGGGTCTGGCCCACAGGAGGGGTGTTTTTGGGAGGCTGGTACCCCCAAACCTGTGGGGGGTGCTTGCAGGTGGCTGGGGATTAATTCCCCCTGCTCCACGGGCGCTGACATCTGAGTTTAATTACAATTAGACCCAGGTTTGTAACAATACTGAAGTCATCCTGTGCATGAAGATGTTCAGGGTTGGAATTGGAGTTATTTGGGTGCTGGGGGATGATACCGAGTCTGTACAGAGACGGCGGCTCCAGGAATTGAGCTTTCCTGATTTTATTTTATTTTATTTTATTTTACCCTAGAAAATCCTCCAGGTTTGTAAAACAAGCAGCGCCGTGGGGTCCTGATGCCCAGGCCCTTGGTTTTCTTTTTATAGTTATAACAGCATCGCTCTGTTAAAGCACTAAGTATTTGGGCAGTTAATTATTTGAGGGTTTTATTATTATTATTATATTTATATTATTATTAACCCAGTATCTTGTGTCAGCTGTGAAAAATTAAAGCACTGGGCTTGCGAGCTGTGCGTGGTGGTTACCAGTGAGGCTGGGAATGGGCTGGTTTTGGTGGAAAAAGGCAAAATTGAGCTTCCAGCCTGGTTTCCCTTTGAGGGAAGCTCCTGCAGCCGGGAAGGACTCCCAGGGAAGAGGGGTTTGGGCCATGAGTGACTTTCTGTGGCTTTTTTTTACCTGTTACCTGTAAAATGAGGTGAAGGAGCTGAGCACGGGGGTGAGGAAGGCCTTCATCTCCATCATCCTCAGGTGCTGAGGTTTTTCCTTCACCTGAGACTTTTAAACAGCCCTGAGTCGTTTCTGGGGCTGCCAGGGAACAGCAGGGGAAGGGGTTGTCCCTCTGGGCGTTCAGGGAGAGGTAAATCAAGAATAATTTAAGATATTTGCTCAAATTAATGACGGGGAATGGAGCAAGTGCTGGTTTTTACACCAATCCCATGGGAAGTGGCGTTGCTCGTGCCCAGGAGTCAATCCTGGTGGGTGTGAGGTGGCTTTTGGAAGCTCTTGGTGGCATCTCAAGGTGATGTTGGGGTGATGTCTTGTCCCACGGCGCAGAAATCAGTCCTAGCAGGGGAAGGGGTTGTCCCTCTGGGCGTTCAGGGAGAGGTAAATCAAGAATAATTTAAGATATTTGCTCAAATTAATGACGGGGAATGGAGCAAGTGCTGGTTTTTACACCAATCCCATGGGAAGTGGCGTTGCTCGTGCCCAGGAGTCAATCCTGGTGGGTGTGAGGTGGCTTTTGGAAGCTCTTGGTGGCATCCCAAGGTAATGTTGGGGTGATGTTGGGGTGATGGCTTCTCCCATGGCACAGAAATCAGTCCTGGGGGGGCACGAAGGCCCCTCTGCTCGAGGGCCCTGGGCTAAAAGAGAGGAATAAAGTGCTTAAATTCTAAGAAAAAGAAGTTTGCTGCCCCAGCTGGGGCTGTGGGAGAGGGTTGGTTCCCTTTGGAAACAGCTCCTTGTTCGGGAACAAGCTGTTGTGATTTTTGGCTTAAATTTTTTGAGTTTTAGAACTTAGGGAGAGCTTGATTCAACAGTAGATTTGCCACTTGAATTTGCCAGTTGAGACTCTTTCCCCCTCGATAAAGGAGGTGAAGAGATTGGGTGCAGCCACCGAGCCGGTCTCCTATTGATCCTAAATGAAGAGCAGGCTGGTAAAGCAGGCCCTGTGAAATGATTTTGGGGTGAAAAACCACGTTTATATGGCAAAGAGCTCTTTCCAAGCCTGAAGGAAGGCCGTCACCTCGCTTGGCAACCCCCTTCCTCACCTCGTGGAATTACAATCCCTTAGAAACTGGGAATTTTTCCCAGCTCAGGCTGCTCCAGCCTGTGTCAGGGAGGGTTTTACCCTCTCCAAGAGGAGGAGGAGCTTTGGAAAAAATGCAATTTTAAATGGGAAAGCCTCTTGGGAATGAGGAGCCAAAATAATATACCTGCTGGGCAGGTAAAAGCGGGTGGTTAATGCCCTTGAAGGTGACAGCTGGGTGACAAACCTGCCTCTAATCCTTATCCTGAGGAATATAAGCCGCCAGGAACAGAGAACTCAGCTTTCATAATTCTTCATTTTTGCACATTTCTGATGTCTTCTTCCCCCCCCTGCTACCCAACACCTTTGCTTGGCACTGGGGTTACGGGGGACACCCCGACCTCTGGGGTCACCAACTGCTTTTTCTCTTGCTTTTCAGCTTCCAGCAAAGCGTGGTCCCGGTGCTGTCCCTTCGGTGGAAGAATCTAAATAAGCACATTTTTAAACCCTTGGAAGGACATTGAGAAGCAAAAATGGTAAGGGTGGGGAGGTTTCAGGCCGGGGGGATAAATATGGGGGTTTGGGCGCTCTTTAGAATTATTTTTAAAATTATTCTTATTATTTTTTTTGCAGAGACCCATGCGTATTTTCGTCAACGACGACCGCCACGTGATGGCCAAGCACTCGGCCGTTTACCCCACGCAGGAGGAGCTGGAGGCCGTTCAGAACATGGTGTCCCACACGGAGAGAGCCCTCAAAGCCGTGTCCGACTGGATCGACGAGCAGGAGAAAGTCAGCGGGGAGCAGCCCGAGACGGAGTCCATGGAGATGGCGGCCGAGGAGGAAAACAAGGAAGGAGGAGGGTAAGGAGCCATCCCCTGTTGGAAACGGCGGGGCTGTCTTAATTAAATCAGCAAAAATCCACTGGCTGAAGGGGGAAAAGTCATTTTCTTTGCCTGTGGAATTAAGAAGAATTAACTAATTCATGATTTAAGCAACTTTCCCCGTGGAGGTGTAGTAAATCCTTTGGTGGGTGTCCTGTATCCCGTTAAATCTCCACAGATCGACCCCGTTGGCTGGGGCTGAGCGTTCCCCTCTTCCCTGGGTTAATTATAATTAACCCCTCGTGCCTTTTGCAGGGATCAGAAAGCCGCCGAGCAGTTGACCAGGACCCTGCGTGGGGTGATGCGCGTGGGGCTGGTGGCCAAAGGCCTTTTGTTGAAGGGGGACTTGGATCTGGAGCTGGTTCTTTTGTGCAAAGATAAACCCACCTCGGATCTCCTGGAGAAAGTCGCCGACAATCTGGGAGTCCAGCTCGCTGTGAGTACAACCTCCCAACCTCCACGTGTCCTTGTTACAGAACAGGCTAAATAGATGTAAAAATGGTTAAAAAAAAGACACCGGTGACGTTTGTTTCACTTTTTCTCCCCCCCTTGTTTTTTTGTTTTCCATTTTGGAAAAATAATTCTCCTAGACTTGCAGCGCTATTCTGGAATCGCCTCGTTAAACCGACTCTTCTCGATTAGCTGAAGTTTTGTTTAGAGACCTTGGGTTTTTGGTTGTTTTTTTTGTTGGAAAAGGATGTTGCAAACTGTTAGGGAGGGAACTGGGAGGGTTTCTGAGCGGTGGAATTGTGTTTCAGGCTATAACTGAAGACAAATACGAAATAATCCAGTCGGTGGGCGACGCCGCCATCGTCATCAAGAACACGAAAGAGCCGCCGCTGACGCTCACCATCCACTTGACGTCGCCCGTGGTCAGAGAAGAAATGGAAAAGCAGTTAGCTGGAGGTAGGGGAGACTGGGACCAGTCACCAGGCTGGTGGAAAAAACCCCTCCGTTTCCGTTGCTGATTTCACCGGCAAAGCGTGCTCTTCAGTTTCAGCCCAAACGGCCCGCGATTCCTTTGGGTGCAAATTGCCAAATTCCCGTTTAAAAACGACACCCAACCTCCTGAGAATGGCCCTTTCGATCCGGACCCGGCTTCCGAAACTGAGTAGCACCTTTCAGATGGGATTTTGCTCCTTTTTGTTTTATTATTTGTTTACTTCTTTTTGGTTCTTATTTTCGGGCCTTTAGTTCACTAATCCGTCGTCTCGTTGTATTAATCTTGGTTTGTACCTCGCCGTGCACAGTGACGTAAAAATAGAAACCAGATATGTTTTAAAACAACAACAAACAAAAACAAAAAATCAAAAAACCCAAAAAAAGAGATCTCCAAGGCTTCTGGTTTATAAATGACTTTGCATGTACCTGAAAGGGGATGTTCCAGGCAAGTTTGTGTTGCAGCAAGAACGACGGGCGCTCGGGGTCTCCTCCCTTGGCTGTTTCACCAGCGAAAGCTCCCAAATCCCCAAAGCCACGCAGAGTTTTGGATAAAGTTAGCTTTTTTCCACCCATTCTCTGATTCCCTTTGGAATCAGATTTGGCAGCTGGGTGATTTGTAATGTGTTTTTTTTTGGTGCTCGGGTTCCTTGGTGGCGGCGTCCAACGCCCGCGCCCCCGCACTAGCCTTATCTAAAACCCTGGTCTGGAGAAAATTTTGCTCCTTTTTTTTTTTTGTAGTTTTTCTTTCTTTTCCAAAGCCTATCGTCAGTTTTGCTGCAGCACAGACTTGGGGGAAAAAAAACAAACCAAACAAACCAAAACCAAACCCATATCGTTGTGCTCTTCTTGACTTGTCTATGGCTTTTGATATCTCCCGAGCCTTCTAGTTTGTCCATTTTTAGGGACGCTGGACCTTTGACCAACAGGACTCTCTCTGTCACGGGTTGGGGGGCAGTCCAGCCTTCTGGGCGGAGGGGGTTCCCTCGATCCTTGCAAACCTTTCCCCCCCCCCTACACACCCCCCACTCACTCCTTTAAGGCCAAACGCAGAGTGGGAAGGGGTTTATTTCAAAAAAATATTGCCTTTTCTTACCTATTCCTGGCCTCGTTCATCACCTTTTTGAGCCATAAAGGAGCTCTCTCCCCTCCCGTGGGGTCTCACCCCCCGACTCCTCTCAGAATAATCTCACTCCTTCCCTGGCCATCCAATTTTGCCCCCCCCTTCCCTCCCCATCCCCCCCCCCTTTTTCTCTGCAGTTTTGAATTCCTAAGCCCTGCAGAGCCTCCCCCAGCCTTAAGAGGATGTTTGTACCTCGCCGTGCACAGTGACGTAAAAATAGAAACCAGATATGTTTTAAAACAACAACAAACAAAAACAAAAAATCAAAAAACCCAAAAAAAGAGATCTCCAAGGCTTCTGGTTTATAAATGACTTTGCATGTACCTGAAAGGGGATGTTCCAGGCAAGTTTGTGTTGCAGCAAGAACGACGGGCGCTCGGGGTCTCCTCCCTTGGCTGTTTCACCAGCGAAAGCTCCCAAATCCCCAAAGCCACGCAGAGTTTTGGATAAAGTTAGCTTTTTTCCACCCATTCTCTGATTCCCTTTGGAATCAGATTTGGCAGCTGGGTGATTTGTAATGTGTTTTTTTTTGGTGCTCGGGTTCCTTGGTGGCGGCGTCCAACGCCCGCGCCCCCGCACTAGCCTTATCTAAAACCCTGGTCTGGAGAAAATTTTGCTCCTTTTTTTTTTTTGTAGTTTTTCTTTCTTTTCCAAAGCCTATCGTCAGTTTTGCTGCAGCACAGACTTGGGGGAAAAAAAACAAACCAAACAAACCACTCTGATTCCCTTTGGAATCAGATTTGGCAGCTGGGTGATTTGTAATGTTTTTTTTTTTGGTGCTCGGGTTCCTTGGTGGCGGCGTCCAACGCCCGCGCCCCCGCACTAGCCTTATCTAAAACCCTGGTCTGGAGAAAATTTTGCTCCTTTTTTTTTTTTTGTAGTTTTTCTTTCTTTTCCAAAGCCTATCGTCAGTTTTGCTGCAGCACAGACTTGGGGGAAAAAAAAACAAAACAAAAAACCAACAAACCAAACCCATATCGTTGTGCTCTTCTTGACTTGTCTATGGCTTTTGATATCTCCCGAGCCTTCTAGTTTGTCCATTTTTAGGGACGCTGGACCTTTGACCAACAGGACTCTCTCTGTCACGGGTTGGGGGGCAGTCCAGCCTTCTGGGCGGAGGGGGTTCCCTCGATCCTTGCAAACCTTTTCCCCCCCCCTACACACCCCCCACTCACTCCTTTAAGGCCAAACGCAGAGTGGGAAGGGGTTTATTTCAAAAAAATATTGCCTTTTCTTACCTATTCCTGGCCTCGTTCATCACCTTTTTGAGCCGTAAAGAAGTTCTCTCCCCTCCCGTGGGGTCTCACCCCCTGACTCCTCTCAGAATAATCTCACTCCTTCCCTGGCCATCCAATTTTG